TGAGATTCTTTCTGGTCTAACAAGACGTTGTTACGTTGAGGCATCGCGAGGTAGGTAGAGTTTTGGTGGGGTCTTGGCAAAAGCCGGCCACTCGCTTGTCCCGGCCACTCGCTATGCACCTACGTTATAGTATTTTTCAATAAATTTTTATTTACGCTATATTTTAAGTTCTCTTTTTTAATAGTAATACAAAACTCTAGTACTATATCTAAAGGACTAGGTAAAGTCCTAACCTTAACTGAACTCTTTAGTCCTACGCTGCGTAAGGTTTTCGATCTCAGTGAAGTCGGTCCGCACCAATGTGGGCTTTCTGAGAGGACCTAGCCAAACTTTCGCCAGAGGACTGCCGAGGCGGCGACAGTAATCTGTCATATAAATTATCGGTCGGCCATGAACTTTCTGCCAGGATATGAATTCTGGCAAGTTCCCGAATATACTGCATGCCACTTTCTTGTCATAGGGAATGCCAGGAATGGGTTTAGGCAAAGCCCAGCGGTATATGAGAAAACTCATAGCCGTAAGAACAAGAGCGGATGCAGCATACCCTAAAAAGGAATCAGAGAGCAAGAAATGAGATTTGAAATATGTAATCAATGCAAGTATTCAATATGATATCGTGGTGAGACCAAAAGAGTAGAACAAAATGTTGGAGGAATGATAAACTCTTAGAGCAACCGCGGGATTTAAGTGTTGTATATCTCCAGTTGCTATATACTGTCAATTGTTTGTGCCCAATGATTCTATTTCTCGTCCGATCAACCACGCACGATGTGGTCTACTGATCAGATCACTATAGGATCTCGGCTCTTCGGAATTGCTTATGCCGATGGTACAGGGAGAATCGTGTTGGACTAATGTGACCCATCGGCCGTTGACTTCGCCGATAAAATGCTGACATTGTACAATTGCGTACAAAGTTGTACAAAATTTGTACAAGCTAGTACGAAGGTCGGTTTGAGAGCACTTCCTCGATCCTTACTAGTGTACTCCATGGGCGAGTCACTCATCGAGTGATCCACCGAAACGTACCACTGATCCTACTGGAACCATTCTTGTTTTCAGGCTCCGTGCATGCGAGCATCATACATAGCGTCGACAGAGTTGTGAACAATCAAGCCAATCAAGCTTTCCGGCCAATACGGCTTGACCGATTGGCTTGGCAGATTAGAATCCACAAGCTTGATTGGCTTGGTTAACAATATTGATAGGATCGAATGGCCAAAGCGTACTCTGATCTCGCGTCGACATCTCCTAGATAACAGCAGTTAATGTTTGCCACAAAGGGTTGCTTGCTCTGCTAGGCGATAAGCGGCTTACTAGCGCGTACTAGGTTGTGTTACAAAGTATCATCAACAACGTCCTTGCAGAGGTAGTACACTAGAAGTAAGATGATATTGCTACGAAGTGAGCTGAAGGGGATCGGACTGTTGATCGTACATCAACGATCTGAGAGTTGAGATACAAGCTATCACTCTAGCATTCCGATTGGGGTCACCCGGTGCTGGTTTCCCGACTTCGGTTCCAATCGCATGTCTGAACAGTCAAAGGATCACGGAAGTGGCGCAGGCTAACCCCAGGGCTGCAGCGGTGTAATGCTGATCAGATTCCCCATAAGTACCTTCATGTTCCATCCTACTGGACAAAGTCCTTGATAGCGTCTGCCACGCCTGCAAGATCCTCGAAAACATGCCAATGACCCACATTCTCCAAGACTCGCAGGCTCGCCTTTGCATTCATCTCTGCCTTGAACTTCTCACACAATTGTGGCGGAGAGAGGTAGTCCTCGGTTCCAGTAACAAAGAGAGTTGTTGCTTGTACTGCAGCGAAGTCAAGACCATGTGCATCACCAAGCGCTGTCAAAGCTTTTGCGTAACCTTCAGGATCCTGGCCAAGTAGCAGCATCCTTACCGCTGCCATCGCCAGCGGATTCGACGTCTTAGTCTTCTTTGATGTACTCAAATCTATCCTTTCGTCGATGTCACATGCGATCCCATATTCACGCACCCTATCGGCTAGCTTATACGCATCGATAGTGGAGGCTTCGAGCGGTGTAAGCGGAGGACCGAGCAGGATCAACTTTCCGACCTTTTTCGGATGTGCTAATGCGAACTTTACGGCGACTAAGCATCCTATGGAGTGTGCCACGATAGTGGCGTTAGATGGGATGTCTTCTACTTCGAACAAGCCACTCAGGTCCGCGGCAAAGGAGTCGATGCTGAGTCTGCCGAGTGGCGATGTTGGTGTTAGGCCATGGCCCTCAAGATCAAATACCCATAGCTGATGCGACATGATGATATCCAGTGAATGGATCAGTGGTCTGTAATACTCTGAGCTTCCTCCTAGTCCATGCACAAAAACGACCGGAGGGCCTGAGCGACTTCCCAGATTCTTGTAATAGACGGGCTTGTCATGGACCTTTGCCAATAGTCTAGACTCCACGCTCCCGGTCGGGACTTTTCGATGCATGTGGGTAATATCCGCCACGCGACTCGCGATGGGACTGTTGTCTCCCAAATTCCCAATGCAATTCGTCAAAGTACCTAGACCAGTTACCGACACAGCCATAGTGTCTCCAGGTTTGAGATAGACAGGCGGCTTCATTCCAATCCCAACACCGGCGGGCTTTACCATAGTCAGCTAAGAATCTCAGTCACATCTTTCATGAGGCTCAAACTCACAGTACCCGTAGCAAGGACGTCGCCCGGCATCAGTGTTTGTCCTTCCGACATGGTCTTGATCAAAAACGGAATTGAGAAGATGAGATCTTCCGTCGTTGCGTCTTGTCGCAGCTCGCCGTTGATGTGCGTTTGAATTCGCAGTATTCTTTCCAATTTCGACGCAGGGACAGCGATTGGACCCTATGTATCTTCAGTACTAATCGGCGATACGACATGAGCATTGAATACCATTGGGCAGAACGTATCGGGCGACTTGCCGATGTAAAACTGCTTGTGGTCCCTCTGCCGCTCACGCGCCGTGATGTCGTTCACGATAGTATAGCCCCACACATGGCTCATCGCATCTGCTTCCGAGATACGGCAACCGGCTCTACCAATGACTACACCAATCTCCCCCTCATAGTCAACGGTTTTCGTGAATTCTGGGTGAGGGTAGACATTCTCCCGGTCTGCAATGATCGACGTGTAACGTTTGGTGAAGATCACAGGATGCGAAGGAGTATCTACTTTGTCTGAGCTATCAAAACCAGAGCTGTTGAACTCCTTCGCATGTTCGGCGTAGTTCTTGCCTACGCAAAGGACGTCTCGGTTTGGGAAGGGAGGAAGGATCTTGACCGATGAAGCGGGTAGTGGTTTGCCAGCGGCGACAACGTTGAGCTCACCAACTTCGACGACTTGATAGAGATCGCTCAGTAAAGTTCCAGATATGAAGGCCAAAGGCTGGATAGTTTTGTCATCGAAGTCGTAATGTCCGACGCGGCTCCGCCCAGTACGTGCATCTCGATAGGAGATATAGTTGGTAAGCGAAACGTTCTCGTTGGCTAGATCGGACGCAGCCATATTGACGAGTCGTGTGAGGTGCAGAGGAGTAGGTTGTTGTTAGGTACTGCAGTTGCTACCACAGTAAGGAAGGTGGGGGTTGGAAGGGCGGATATAGCGGAAATAAGAACGCAAGGCGGGGCAGGCTTCCCACATGAGATCGCGAAGATTGCTTGTAACCTCGACACAGATTTTCCTACGCTTATACTACAATGCATAATTGTGCGGTAATTTCTCGCCTCGTCTTCTGTCAGTGCTATATCATGTCTCGTCGAAATTGTCAAAATCTTGGCTGGATTCCTGAATCCAATACCCCAACTGCGTACCAAGTGGATCAAGATCCATGCCACCAAAGTTGGCCCATGGCTGACTTGCTAAAATAGAGGGTTCGTTGGTGATATTTATGCTCCCGTTCCACATCTCATCACGATCATGCCATGACGGTAGCCCTCCTAATGTGTTCGGCAATCCCTCCAGTTCTGCGTCCTTCGCGCTGCTTGATAACGGGCCAGATGAAGAGGAGCTTAGCTGCATCTGGGCTCTGATCTCACTGTGCACTAAAGCCAGCTTGTGCAGCGCCCTGAATATCTCCAGTTGCTTTGTGCATGATGTGTATTCTGGCTTTTCTGCGAGCGACGCTAGAGCATCAACATAAGTCTTCAGACTTTCAAGGTCTGCGAGATTGGCAGTCTCAATGACGCTGCAGAAGATGATGTTGAAAGGCAAGAACGGAAAGAGAATTAGCCCCCCATTGACCCATAGCTCGAACGGAGCAGGATCGTTGTTGTAGCTGGCGAGCAGTGCGATACACTGAGTATGCTCACGGAGGCTTATACGAGCAGCGGCTATGCATCCGGAAGAAACCTTCGTTGATGGCTTGCTGAATGCAACACGGTAAATGGCGACAAGAATCAGGTAATCAGTGGCTCTGGTGGCGTGCTGTGCGAATTCAACTGGCATCAGTTCTCCGATTGTGCCACGTGAGTCTTCATCCCATCGGGCCTGAGTGTTTCAGTCAGCATGAACCAATGAAAATGAGATGGCCCAGTATACCATAGAACATTCTTTCGAAGCGATTAGAGCACGCCATTCTGCAGCAATGGCTTGACCGCGTGTTGTCCGATGCGTTGCAGGGAGCGCAAGTGCGCCCGGACAGAAAAGGTCATCATATGCGCTGCCATGAAGCCTTGACATCTCGACAGCATGTATCAAGCTTTGTCTGCTCGAAGTAAGGTCTTGAAGGGTGGGTTATTGGTCCGGCTTCGGTATCGTAATGTGCCCATCACGTATCGTCGAAGGACGCCCGAGCCTGAGTACTGTGGGTCGCTCGATGCAATAAGTTGACCAGAAGAGACAAAAGCGCCGATGCCGTTCTTCAGAAGCAAATCCAGACGACGAACTGTCTTGATGCAGGCCCAGCGCTTGGCCGAGCATAGCGGCTTTGCTGATGAACGTCCAGCAAGCGTAGATTTTGCCTTTTTGAAGACAATATACAGACTAGGATTTGAAAGTTGTATATTAGTGATATCTTTCAGGGCTCAGAAATTCAAGTGGGGACTACTCGTTTTACCGCTAAGTTCATGGCCAGAACGGCATCGACTGTTGTGGGTAACCAAAAGTTCAATGTCGACAACACTGTCTCGAGGCTATTCTGGCATAATCTTGCTTGGTCTTTGAAATCCTCTCGGGCAACAGGAGATGCCCATGTTCCGCACATGTCAAACATCCAATACAGTCCAGAGAGGGCAATGATGAGTACGACATCGGTAATGGGCCCAGGAGAACAAACTTGAACGATGATGAGGGTAAAATCGCCGAATGACATTGTCTCTCTCAGCCAGGGTACTGTGGTGGTCTCGTGATCTGAAGTGTTCGTGAGCTGATATGTTCACATGTCGAGTAAAGATCATGCAATCCTGCAAATACCTTGAACCATTCTGAGACATGCCATGACATTTTCTATGGTTGGAAGAGGAAGATCTCTTAGAGTCATGCCCGGAGACAATGTTTTTGCAAATGGTGGACCTTCATGGAGGCTGCTATGCCGACTTTGAGACCGTAAAACGTCTTGCAAAGTCTGACGAGATAGTCGAATGTCAGCGGCAGCGGATGACTGGTCTCCAGTATCCTCATGATCTAGGGCTGTCTCGAGTAAGTCGGCCACCTGGATCACATTTAGGAGCAAGGAAATGTCGATGCCCTCATGATCGGGAGTGGATGTTTGGGGTGGTCGTGACGATTTGCTGGTCGCATGTAGATTGGCATTCATGGTACTCAGTTGTGAAAGATCTCGATCTGGCCGCACTTCGAGCCGCTGCACGAGGCGAGCTAAGTCGTCAAGCTTTTTGGTTATATCTTCGATCCTGCTTTCACTGATGAACTTCAGAAGTCAAACCTAATCAACGGCTCGAACCGTACCATCGGGCAGTCACGTACTACAAGCTTGAAACCAAAATCCGCTGTCGCTTCGCTCGATTCTGAAATTCTGGAAATGTGCACTGGAGAGATGCTCGAAGGCATTGGTTGCAGGGGTCTTGGCAATTGCACTTGATCTAGAAGCACATACGTCAATATCCTGCACGAATGGTATTTATCTTTTGTTCAACGAGACTAACTTTGCGTCTACGGCATCTATCACACCAATGACTCCAATTAGCTCAGTACATCTGGAGACTCCTGGGTGTATGCTCAAACCCTGACGTACAGCGACTTTCGAAACAGGACCTTCCAAGCTTTGTGTGGTCTTGTTTTCTTCATCATTGCTAATTTCGTCATGTTCGGGAAGCATCTCCTCATCGCTCATCTCCGCAGATCCTGAGGCTGTTCGTAGAGTCATACTGGCGGCGATAGCGGCGGGCTCCACAAACTCGGGGTTAGTAAGAGGCGCAAATGAGTGGTCACAGACCAGCTACGCGCTGGGATGCAATCAACGCAAAGCCGTGCGTTACGGTGGCTAACCCTTTCTCCAGCAGCGGTTCGGGCGATAGATTTCCGCGGTCCGGACTGCAGAGGTAGAAGAGCAGAGAGAAGACCGCTAATGCTTATGTGACGCTAATGTCACGTGATCAATGACGCGGACGTGCGGGCTGCTCAGGGTCCGCATGCCGCTTGTCTTTCCCTACTCTCGCTCTGCGGCGTGCGGCCTCTTCATGTCCGCTAATCTACCAAGTGCATAACAACACGCGCGCAGTACTCCTGGGTGAACTAACGCGACTGGAGCGCCAATTTAATAATTATTGAAAAGCCCGACAACATGACTACCAGTTCTGAACTCACAAGCAGCCTTTGTACTACAGATTCCACTCGATTTGTTCTCTTAACATATCTAACTCTAATAGATCTTCACGGTCACTACAAAACGCATCACCCTGCTCATTACAATTCCCATGGAGATGTCAGAAAAGCGGAAACAAGACGCGGTCCGAAATCATCTCCCTTCTGACAGGCAACTTTCCCCAACCGAGAAAAAGACACCGTCAGCATTTGCTGCATTTTTTCGGTCATTCACCTACGCCACATCGAGTCATTATGTTTTGTTGGGAATTTCGATCGTAGCCGCAATTACCGCAGGCGTTGCGCAAACCATGGTCAACGTGGTCATGGGTGAGTTCGTGCGATTGCTGGGTAGCGTTGGCACCGAGGGCTTCTCTGATAGCTACATGAGTGCAGTCAGCACAACTGCGTACGTAGAGTACAACTCTTCTTCCAAGATTCAAGTTCGAATGCTGACAGTAGAACCTTCAGTCTTTACTTCGTTTATATCGGCATTGTCAGACTGGCTTCCATCTATCTGTATGGCTCCTTGATGACCTACGTTGCGTATCACCTAGTTCGAGCCATTCAGCACGACTACCTACAAGCAGCTCTTCGCCAAGAGGTCGGTTTCCATGATCAAGGTGTCTCCGGGTCAATTTCCACCCAAGCAACGGAAAACGGCCTCATGATTCAGTCGGGTATCTCAGAAAAGCTCGGTCTAGTTGTGCAGTCCATAACCACCTTCGTTGCAGCCTTCGTCATCGCATTCGTCGCCCAGTGGAAGCTCACCTTGATCTTGGTCTGTATTATTCCAGCATCCATTCTACTCGTTGGTGGAGGCGGTACGTATGATACCATCAACAACCGCGAAGTGTTCAAGGTCTACTCGGACGCTGCAAGCTATGCTGAGAATATCCTAAGCGCTATGCGAAGCGTCAAAGCTTTCAATCTGCAGTCTAGGACGTTAGCAAGGTACAAAAGCTACTTAGATATGGCTTTGAAACTCGGAAATGAGCGTAGCAAGACTTCTGGAATAATATTCGGTGGCCAATACTTCGTTGTCTTCGCAGGCATGGGCTTGGCATTCTGGCAAGGCTTCAGTATGATATCCCGTGGTGAGGCAGATCTCGGAACCGTTTTTACGTACGTACCAGAAAGCCCCGACCTCACGAGACACGGGGCACCATCGCGCCATGGCACGGCCCACAAGGAGCACATCGCCACTCTCACTCCCCCTTCCGCCTGTATCTTCGCTGGCGCGGCTGT